CCCTGCTTGGGGAAGAGGTAGCCAGGCTCGGATTCGAGATGCTCGGCTGTGGGAGAGTGACAGTTGGCCGAGGACGGTCGGACGCAACGGTGTCTACTCCGGTGTCTGCCTGTGAGCACCTGTGCACGTGTATACCGACACAAGCCTTGTCTGCGCACGTGGCCCCAGGCACGCACAAGTGTCGACCTATTGCACAGAATGGTGACTTCTGTATTTTTGCCCCGTGGACAATGTATGACCTGCCGACGGTGCTGCTGGGGCGTGTGCAGACCAGGCAGACGGACAGACAGACTGACAGACTGACTTACAGATGCACGCACATGGGCACTAGACAACGGGCAGACACACTCAACAGTCCAGCCGAGGACATGCACACAGCAGGCAGACACATGTTGGCCGGTGGTTGTGTCACTGAGACAACCACTTCTGTCCCAGAAGTTGGCAGCAGAGACCCTCTCTTTTCACAGTCTGCTGACTCCTTCAGGCAACTCAGCCACAAAATCTGGCTCGTCACCGAAAAAAATTATTTAAAAAAATGTTTTGACGCTATTTTGATCACGATCTCCTTTCGTTACACAAGAGTGATATGATCTCATTTTCGCAACTTGCCCGTATTGTCAGTGCGATCTGGACTAACACACTATGCCCGAAGTATTCTGCTTTCGTAGCTTTGGTAATCTTCGTTTATAACTACGGTTCGAGACCATATATGAGATGTATTCACCCTATTTTGTTTTAGATGCTGAAGAATTGGTAACTAAATTTTTCCCAAAGGATGTGAATATACCTCACGTTTCCAACGAATTTCATATAGCCTTAGATATGAAAATCAAGATGGTATGACCTGTTTGGCCGCAGTCTCCTTTAGCTGTATAGCGTTGCTTTGATCTCGTTTTCGCAACTTGGTCGGAACGTCAGAGAGAACTTGGTGCATTCACAAAAGTTTCACTGGCATCGAAGCCGGCAGCATCAGTGAGAGGCGCCATCGTCAGCACAAAGTTACAACTTTTCAAAGGGACAAGTGAAGACAATCCTCTTGGCCAATTTTCTGTTTAATAGTTGTGGCATCACTCTTAGCCCTTTATTTTTCTCCTACTTTTAAGTGCTGCATCTCTTTCGAATAGCCTTATCGCCCAAAAGGTTGATTGCAGTTTCGTCTCTTCAGTCCCATCACCCCTCATTCCTCCGGCGAGACTCAAACCCGGATATTGTAGATTGTAGTCTCAACACGGGCTTGAAACCTCAGTCAAGCCAAGATGAGAATACCATTTGGGATGCAAGGCTATGTAAGATGCTTTGGAAGCATAAAGACTACTCATGTGATTGTGGAAAAAGTTAACTTACAATCCCTTATCAGCTTACACGAAACAAAGTGAATATATCTCATAATTATGATAATCCTTAGGATCGGACCATTGACTTGGTACATTCCCAGACAAGTGAATTTGACTAGTTTCAATCTGTTGTCAAGACTGGCACCACTCACTGAGGATGCTGATTACGATTTCAGTGAAACGTTTAAGAATAAATCAAGTACGCGGTCCAGGGCTGATAAATATCAAAACTACTATAGCAGAAAACTTCGAACAAAGTGTGATCATCAAGGTCGCCATGGCAACACAACCAAATTGTGAAAACGAGCTCAAGCATTTTTACTCAACTTGTAAGTTTGAATAATATCTGTCCTATTTTCGTTATCAATTCTACACTGATAGAATTTATCTGACTACATTTTTCGTTATTGAGTAGATTTTCGAGACTGCCAGTAAATCAGACATATGAGATGTGTTCACCCTATTTCGTTTGAGGTGATGTAGGACTGATAGTAGCATTTTCCCACAATGATACGAGTAGAGCTGACGGCTCCACTGAATTTCACCTAGCC